TCCTGCTATTAGGATTTTATAAGATAATACATTAGTTCTCTGTTGGGTGGACATATGTAGGCATCTAACCAGCATTACTTCACTAGAACTGGCTCTTTACAGTTACAGTTATTTTCATAGCACAAAGAAATCTCAAAAAGGCCTCTGGAGAGTACTCTTATTCTTTTAAAAACTCAGCCCACTGCAGTAACTAACTGCAGCAGTCTGTGAGAAACACTCACTTCTGCACGTTTTGCCATCATGGTTCAGGGTGTATCCAGGATGACATCTACACACAAATGAGTCTTCAGTGTTAACACATTCATGTTCACAGCTGTGTGTACCCAGAGCACAGAAGTCTATTCCTATGGAAACAAAGGTTAAAGGACACAAACTAAGCTTATTGGTTGCTGAAACAAAATGGCTTAGAAAAGCCCATGCTGCTTAAAAGGCACTCGGATCCAGTAGTGCAGGGCTGTATCCAGCCTGCAGGGGTTAATGTCTGACCTGTGCGCCTCCACCTGGCCACCACCACCCCCACTACTCCTAATGCTGTGGCAGCCAGGTCTTTGGGGTAGGGCAGCACAGCGGGAGGAGCCTATTGGACTTACTGCCTGTGTGGCCTCAGTGGCAGGAGGCTTGCAAGGGTGGGGGGAAGGGCTTGTGTGGCAGCAGCAGTGGTGAGGGCTCATGCTGCTGGGGTGGCAGAGGACCTGGTGAGCCCATGTGGCATGTGATCTGCATAGTGTGTGGCCCCAGACCCAAGACTGGTATAATGTGCAGCTCCTGGCCACTCAACAGTTGGCCAGTTCTACTGTAGTGTAACCAAGGGGGGCAACTGGGGCACCAGTCCTGGGTGCCAGCTTAGAGGGGATGCAAAAATACTAGCTGCCACTGATGCTCTCCTACCTGCTGCACCACCACCACCCCAGCTGTGGCTGCTGCTGCATGAACCACCACTGCCCAGGTGCAAAACTGCCTAGTTATGCCTCTGCTAAAATCTGTGCTATGGGCAGTTAAACTTTGGGAGCAGCTGACCAGGAAGCCTACTGGTGATGCTCTACCCAGCCACCAGGAAGATTGTGCTTTGGTTCCCAGAGTCTTGCTCCCACAGACTTAACATTAGTAGAGAAGGAGTGTCTGGAACAGGTCAGCAATGACACACTCTGCCTGGCTTGGATGAAGAAATAGATGTTGATGTACCGCATTATATTACAAATTTGTTTAACATGAACCATTAAGTCAAAACTTTTGGAATCAGAGTCCAACCTTGAAACTATCACTAAGCTCCTGACCTCATCCAAAGCCTATGGAAAGGCTCCCACTGATTTTAAAGAAATTTGGATCATGCTTTTCATTCACAATTGTTGTCCTCACGCTAGGCATTATGCTTGGAAATGTTTTCAGTATTTGGTCCTTTGCTTCTTCCCTGCGCAAGGCATACTGAACCTAAAAGCACCAAATATTCTCAATGCAATTTAAAAATTAACTAACTGTGGTAATGTAGACTACTATTCAAAATGACACAGGTATATTAAATGACAAAATGACACAGGTATACTTCCTTAGTGCAGAAAACACAAACCAAAACAGAAATTTTTAGGATGACAAAAAAAAATCATATTTGAAAAGAGTTAATTTTCTTAGCTTTACCACTGTGAACTTTAAATTAATGAAACATTGCTGCTGTATCTTCACTAGGTTCATGCATCTAGCAAAACTAATTCCTTTTGTGATTGCAAGTTTTGCTGAAGTCTTAAGACTGTCACAAGATGCCTCTGTTTTGGAGGCCCAAGGCTGGAGGAGCTGCTCCATGCAGGAGTCCTGAGGAAAGCAGCGTATACACATGCCCTGATTAAGAAGCTTGATACAGCTGAGGCTAATTTCTAAGTGTTTAAGAAAGTGGTATGGTGATTTAGAGAACATGTTCAAGAATACTTAAGGAACACTAAAACTACTTTTAGAATTTAAAAAATATTGCCATTCCCAGAACTAGTCAAAGGCATCTATCCTTGGCTAAACTAAAATAACAAAGAAAATATGAAGCATTTGCAGAAATCCATTTGTGTTATTACAAACTAAAAAAACAGGAACATTTAAAGAAGTAATGAGTATCAATATCCTTTATTACTCTCCATATTTACTTCAACTCTCCAGGAAAAAAATTAATCTAATGTAAAATCTGGCCTGTGAAATATCAGACAGAGCAGTTTAATTATGGCAGAGTTGTGGGGAAGGAGGCTGGGGAGAGATAAGTTAAAAATCAGGCATAAAGGGAAAAGTTTGTTTCAGTCTTTACAATGGAAGAGACTATGATCTTTCCAAAAAGCCTTCCACTTGTGTGCAAAGTTAAAGCAGATGCCCTGATGTGCTTAGGTCAACTTACTTTTGCAAGTTCGCTTATCTGGATTAAGAGTAAATCCTTGTCGGCATTGACAAAAATAAGAATCATCTAAATTAACACACTCCTGTTGACAGCCATGGTTTTCTGAAGCACAGTAATCCGGTCCTGAAAATAAAACAGAAATGGGATAAAGAAACCCAACGACCTCACTTCATTTGAATTAGTATTTCTTTTTCTGGACACTGTCCTGACTTCTTGCCATACTGTTTCAAATATTTAAAACAAACTGTTCAGCTTTCACACAGACTACATGAGAAATATTTTAATGAACCCTGGGAAGATAATTTTTCAAAGGGCTATACAGAAGTTAGTGTTATCAGTATTTCTGAGAATTTTGCAGCCAAATACTGTAGGTCACACTGAAAACATTGATTTGTTTTTAAACAAAACTCATAATTATGTTATTTTACTGCATTCAAGTTAGATATGCATTATACTAAGTGAATCAGTTTATATCAAGTGTACTTGTGAATGCCATTCATCATATAGGGGCATTATTTCACCAGTTGCACCAGTGTTTGAATGACTTTGGCTTGTTTGTTATGTGATTTTTGAGATGCAAAACTCTATGTGAGATGAAAAGCTTGCCAAAAACACTTGGGGCACTTGTACACACTACAGGGTTTTAGCCCTTAGGGTTGCATTCTATGCCCCCTAAATTGAAATGGTGAGTTTTTTATTGAAATGGTAGGTTTTATTTTTCCTTCACTGTATGTATGTTATTGACCTGGTGGCCACAGGTGCCTACTGAAGGCAGAAGCAGTGAGGGGCCCGATACTTTTTTTTGTTTTTTTGGCAGAGCCTGCCTGCCTCTCCTGCAGCCAGGGGGCCATTAATTTATGCTATTAATCTGTCAGCTCACTCCCTGGTCACAGGAGAGGCGGGCAGACTTTGCAGAAAAGCAGATCAGGCCCCTCGCTGCTTCTGCCTTCAGCAGACTCCTGCGCCCGACAGGACACCTGGGGCCACCTGAGAATGAGCTGGCTTCATCTTCGGGCAGCCTGGGGGGGAGACAGCAGGAGGGTGGCTGGGTGAGCTGGTGGCCGGAGAAGGCAGTGGGGATGTTGCATAGGGTACTGGAAGCCCAGGTGGGCTCGGGCAGCCCACCTGATCTTCCAGTGCACTGTACACTGTCCCTGCCACCTTCTCTGGCTGCCAGCAGACTCAGCTGCCCTCTTGCCACCTCCCTGAACTGCCCCAGGGGCAATCAGCCCATTCCTAGGTGGCCCCTGGCATCCTGCCAGCCATAGGAGCCTGCTGAAGGCTGAAGCTGTGAGAGGGGCCCAATCCTTTCATTCTGGCAGAGCCTGCCCACCTCTCCCATTGCTGGGGGGCGAGCTGAATAAATAGCTGCAATGTTCCAAGTTGCAACATTACAAATTAAACTACATTGGGATGTTGTTACTTCTCAGCTCCGTGTTCTTGGGGAACACTGGAACAGGATGCAGCCTGTCTGACTCACAAAGAATTCCCCCCTGCCAAACAAAATTGATTAAGATGCAGTGGGAGACATACCTAAAGCTCTCCAGATAAGGGAGCAACTGCCCTAGGTCTCATTTGCATCTGAGATGGAACCAGATGACCATTCATTTACATGGGAGATGGAGAATAGAAAGCCTGAAGCAGAAACCTCAGTGAATTCTGGGATCAGAGAAGCAGGGGAGCACTGCATGATGGGGAATCTGTGCTCCAAATTCTAATCTACCCACATTTACACACAGCCAGCTCAGCATTTATCAGACCAGTTCTAATCTGGATTTTCAAAGGACTCCCCTCCCCCCGCCCCCCCCCAAGCAGAAGTAAAGTTTAATAGGCATCTTGGGCCGTACATTCCCTGGTCCCACTATGGGAGGCCTATTTAAACTTGATTAACTAAAACTCAGTTGCCGGGTTAGGGAATGCTGAGGCAAAGAAACTAAGTCAGAGGGGGTATGGTCAGCATTTGAACAATGGTAAAGGGTTCATCACAGCGTCCAGCCCATTGGAGCCCTGACCACAAGTGTTGTCATACTTTTCTCGTGATGACTGGTGGAAGTCCTCTCCACCAAATGTTATGAACACTCCAATAATTGCTTTAAGTCTGTTAAAAGACTATAGTAAGATCTGGAAAAGTCATGCTAAGCTGAGGCTTGTTCACAACAAGTAAAAATCCAAAACCCTGATGCTGCAAGCTATCTATTGTTTCTGAAGAAACAATAAGGCATCCCATCAGTATATCTGCTATCCATAGGAATTTCAAGCTGGCTCCTAAGTGTCTGGTTACTCCTTAACCTCATGTTTTTCCTGATTATCAATCAGTTTCTTGAGATATTCCAAACCAGATAACCCCTTGTCAATAAAAAAGACAATTATTTACACTATTAAGAATGCTTTGAGGAAGCTGAACTGAGGGTATAAAAATCTGTTAAAAAAGCAGGAGTGTGTGTCTGTGCTTCAAGAGGAGAAATCTTTCTGACACCATCCGCTGTTGTTCTCGAGAAGCTGGAAGAAACAGATTGTCTCCCTTCAAGGATTGTGCTAAGAGCTTCACCTGTCAGCATTGGAACCTGAGTGCCTTGGACTGGTGAGATCCCAGCACTCGCTCTCTCCCTCTTTTCTCTTTTCTCTCTAGGCATAAATTTCTGAACCTGAACTGTATTAGTTAAGCTTGAGCTAAGTTTCCCCAAATACTTAGTGAAACCAGGGTAGTATTGTAATTGTTAGTGTTTGTTTTTCCTTTGCATGTCTATTACTACTAGTACTATTATATATTTCATATACTTAGCAATAAATAACTTTTATAGTCAAACTGGGAGTAACTGGGTATATTTTTTCTTCTCTTCTCCTCCTTCCCCACTTGCTCTGCAGCAACGCTTCTTTTACCTAAGCTAAAGATCCCTGTGAAGCCCAAAAATACTGTGGGGTCTGCTCATCAAGAGGCTAAAGATTGGGACATGCTGAGTTTGAAACACATAAGGGGATCAGCTTGTACAGGCTGATTGACCCAGTTTGGCTCAGACATGCCCTAATGAACTGAATGCTGGCCCATGAGGGTGTCAGCTGGACACCCAGCCAGATTCAGATGTATTCTGTTTACCTGTGTGCTCATGTCTGACTACAGTTTATTGTTGCTCTGATGAACTGATTCTTGGCATATGAGGGTGTCAGCCTGTCCATGCTGATCAACCTGGCCAGGTCAGGCATGTCACGTTAATCTGTGTGTGTTTGTGTGTATGACTGATTTGGTGGTTGGAGGATTTTGAAACTGAGTCCTGCAAGATAGCTCCATTGGGGGTGAGGACTTGCAGAAGGGAGATATACAGCCCCATATAGAAACACAAGTAACACAACCAGCACATTGATAGAATTACCAAGACCCTAGAAACGTATCCTTAATAAATGAGCGCACCCCAAAGTGATGGGCAAATCTGGTAACAAAGTAGTTTAGTTTGCAAGGATGCAAACTCATTTAAAACCCCCAAAACTCACATACGTGTAATGTGTGATGCCATTAAGCCACACAAAAGGAAATTTCTGTCACAAGTACATCATGACACCATCACGTGTGCAAGCGCCCTTGGTGTCCACACCTAACACTGAACCAGCTCACATTGACCCAGTTCAAAATAATAGTTCACTCCTCAGAGACCTTTTGTTTTGGGCTGTCTGCTGGTTTAATCACACATCACTGAACTGGTAACATTATTTATGTTTTCAAGCTTTGTCTTCATAACCAGAGGGGCTAAACACTTACCTTTGCAAAAGAAAATGAACAATCTGAGGTAATCACTTGACTCTCTGGAACTGGAGTCCTAGTCATGGGGATATAGTGGCTTTGCCTTACTCTGCCTTAGCACCAATGTGAATTTCAGCTTGGTTTGTCATCGAGATGTGAGTTGAAGTCAAATTTGTAGAGAATAATTTCAAGCATTTTAAACTTATGGGATAAACACAGAGAATCAAAAAGCCCAAGGCAGAATCAAGTCAATCTTCACAGGTTTCTTGAAGCTGCATAGGTTGAACCGATAACCGACTTTCAGTTTTCAGTTGAGAATGGCAAGCAGAGGCCTGACCCAGGCCAGAAGACAAAGGGTACTAGAGCATACCTCCCAGTTTGCCACCACAGGAGAAAGAGTTCCCATTATAGTGCTGGCCCTGCAAACCAGGCATCTGGCCACAGGGGAAGCCCCACTCCACAGGCTGGCCTGGGATCCTCCCACCCCCATCTGCCCAGCTGCAGGAATCTGCCCACAGGTCCAGAAATTGGGGGGGGGGGGGGGAGGGGGAAAGAGAAGTGAGTGAAGAGGGTAACTCCTCCCATGGGGCTTGACTGGTGTGAGTGACTGACACACAGGGAAAAGAAGTCCCCCCACCTGGGACTGGCCCCATAGCCTGGCATTTGCTCACATGGGGAAAGCCCCACACTGGGGATCCCCTGAGCCCTGGTCTGCCCAGCTGTGGGGGGAGGGGTTCCCCTTCTGTGGCTGGGCTGGTGTGAGTCACTGACATGCAGGGGGGAGGGGGAATGAAGCCCCCCACCACAGTCTTAGCCCCCTGAGGTGGGGTCTTCTTAGCTGCGGGGGATGGGCCCCAGGGGGTTTCCCCCCTCCCTGCCTAGTTGGGCTGGCTCCATAGAAAGAAGGATCATGCCCTGCAACCCAGCACAAGCCCCTTGGGCTGCCCACTGTACCTTGCCAGTTGCCACTGGGCTCTGGTGGGATGTGTCAGGCAGCCTCAGGGGCTTGTGATGGGTTTTGGGGCCCATCCTGCCTTCTGTGGAGCACTCCTGTCCTTGCCCCTTGGTGCAAGACCCCTGGTCCGCCTGGCATGTCCCACTGGAGGCTGGCACCAGCAGCACCTGGCAAGATGCGCTGGGCAGCAGGGCCTGATCCTGCCTTCTATGGAGTGCTCCGGGCTGCTCAGCACATCTTGCTGGCTGTCGCTAGTACCAGGCTCTGGTGGGATGTGCCAGGGTCCTGGGGGACTTGCATCTGGCAGGGGCAGATTAAGGTGTACTGGGGCCCTGGGAAAACACAAAATTGGAGGCCCTCCCTGCATGGGAGCTGGATTGCGGCAGGGGGTGGGGAGAGGGGAGAAGGGCCCCTTCCCTTTCTGGTGCTGACGGGGAGAGGCTGGGTGGACCCCACCAGACTGGGGGTGGGAGGGCACATGCCCGCCTCTTCTCCCTGCTCCCCCCGCTACAGCCAAAGATGCGCACAGACATGGGCACTCAGACAGGCACACGCTCTACTCTCACTCACTCTCTGCAAATGGACACACAGACAGAAACACACTCTCCCTGCCGTGAACACAGATGCACACACGCACAGACACACAGATGCATGCACCCATACACAGATGTGCACACACACCAACTCACACATGCACACACAGATGCTCACACAGACAGACGCACACACGCAGACAAAGACACAAAGACAGACAGATGCACACACACATGCACACCCAGATACACTTTCCCCTCACAGGACCTCCCCCTTCCCCCTCTCTTGATCATACTGAGGCAGCGCCCCCATCCCGCCACCCCCAGCTATGAGCCACCCGTGGTTCCATCTAGCTCCCAGCCCAGCCCCTATTAGACTTACTTGCAGGGAGCTGCTGCTCAGCTGTGTCCCATGTGGCCAAGGACATGCACAGTGTTGAGCTGCGTTGGGCCAGAAGTGCTGCACCGTGTCTCTGCAGGTGGGCAGATTGCTGGGAGGGCTAAGATGAATTTTGGGGTGGCCACATCCCCCCAAGGCACCCCCAGTGCCTCTGCCTGCCCGCCTGCAGAGGTGTGGCGTGGCACTCCTGGCCCAGCCTGGGCCTGCTCCCCCTGCCCCAGCTGCAATGTGGGGTGGCACTCCCAACCTGGCCCAGCCCAGCCTGTTCTCATTGGTGGAGGGGTCCTGCTCCTGGCTCATAGGGAAGCAAATGCAAAAGCCATGGTTTTAAACTTGGCACTGTTTTGGCACCTGGTGGTGGGGAAGGGAACACTCCACATAGGGCAGGATCAGGCCCCACTGCCTGGTGCAAACTCTCTGGGCTGCCTGGTGCCTCCCACTGGAGCTCAGCACCAGTGACAGCTGACAAGAGATGCTGGGCATCCTCAGAAGCTTGTGCCAGGTGATGGGACCCTCTCCAGTGTGTGTCAGTGTCTCACGCTGGCCCAGACGCAGGAGGAGGCCATGGGGGTGAAAACCACTCCCCACAGCTAGGCAGACCAGTGTTTGGGGGAGTCCTGGGCCTGCCAGGGGAAACTCCCCAGACACTAGGGTCCCCCCCACATGAGCAGATGCCAGGCTTGGGGTCCGGCCGGGAAGCGGGACTCCTATTCCCCTCCCCTCAGCTAGCCAGTGACTTGCACCTGACCTGAGACAGGGGGCAACCCTCACAGACCAGGGCTTGGGACCAGGGCTGAGGGCTCTGTTCCCAACCTCCCCCACCCCTCTCCACTGCCCCACATGGCTGGCAGGAACAGGCTGGGGAGCAGAGGTGTTGCTACTTCAGCTCTGTGACAGCTGCGGGGTGAGGATGGGGCTGGCCCCAGCTCAGCCGGAGCAGACAGCACAGCCAAAGCTAGCCTGCCTGCCCTGTGAGGAGGATAGTGGGCACCCCAATCTGCAAGGTTCAGGCCAATTTGCACAGAAGTGGATAGATAAGTTTTGAAGTTATTTATGTTTGAATTCAGCAGCTGTAAGATCATTCCAGTCCCCTCCACACCAAGTGCTGCCCTGACTCCAGCACATGCCTGACTCCTGATTTATCAATATCCTAGTGCCCCTCCCTGGTTTATCTAAACTGTAGAGTTTTGAATGTTTTTCCCTAGTTTAAATTTAACGCATCTGAAGTATTTTAAACTGGTCAAAATGAACTATAGGTTTTAACTGGTTTCCAACTATTTTAAGGATTCAAAGCTTGTATCAATGTATTCCATATAACTGATATTTAGCTTGGTATTTACAAAGGTGTTTAAAGTATATTTGGAGTTTCTGTATATCTACCTGCATGAGGCGGGGGGGGGGGGGGGGGGGGGGGAGCAGGGAAGCCCCATACTGGGGATACCTTGAGTTTCAAATTCTTTTATCAATCTAATCTGAAAAAACATGACATTTTAGAAGCCTCCATATTTTGCGGGGGGAGCAACATTTGATCTGGACCACTGCTCAGGCAGTAAGGAAGTATGAGTAATATTTTGAATGGCACAGTCATATGAACATATACATGCATAGGTATGGAAATAATTTTGTGGCATGCAGTCCTAACAGACCTTGTCAGTCTTTGGCTAACTACATTGACAGGCACTAGCTTTCTTCTGCCATGTAATGTTTTATAATACAATTTTACAGTCACAGGTTATCCTAGATCTCTATGGGATTGCAAGGATGCAGAAAAAATGTGTTATATTGCACTGATTAGTTTAGAAATCATTCTTTGTTCACATCATTATGTAATATGGACTAAATTTGCTACTGGTATAACAATGCAACTCTAGAGTAGTTAATGGAATTAAACCTATTTACACACAGTGACAAAAAATCTGTTCTCATAAGGTACACAGAAACAGAGGTAAGGCTGTGCTTTTAGCCTTTCCTTTCATAATTCCTGAGTGCAGCATACTTAGCTGTGCAATTTTACTACTACATTAATGTTGGGTTTTTTGCATTTCATTACTACACTTGTTTTATAAACAAAAGACAATTTAGAAGTTCTGTTCTGTAAAACTGATCCATTGAATTAGGAAATATGACACTTAAAATAAAGAAATGCTATAATCAGAGGGGCCATGCAAAACAGAAACTTTTGCTTTAACTACCAGAAGAAGCAAGATCTCAGGGCAAGAAGTTCCTGTCCTTAGAGAAGGAGAAAACTTCTCTTGCTCTTCTGATCTAACACTGTTTCATTTATAAATAGACATTCTATAAATGTTCTCAGGAGCAATGGAGAATTATCAGGGAAAAGAGAGAGTACAAGGAGAGCAAATTTATCATACTTAATATTTTTTCCCAACTTACTTCTGCAAGTTCTTTTATCAGGGTTTAAAATAAACCCTGGATGGCATTTACAGTAGTAGGAGTCATCTGTATTAACACACTCATGTTGGCAGCCTTGGTTATCCACTGCACAAAAGTCTACAACTGAAAAAGAAAAACCAGGGAAATGTGTAGAATTAGATACATGGAATCAGTATTAGAATATATATTTAATAATTATGAAATATATATTTATGTTATGATCAGAACTGAAGTAGTACAAATAAAAGTTGACAGGGTCTCTGCTCTGAACAGCCTGCTAATTGAAGGTTTTAGGGTAATAACTGATGGACCAACATTCAGGAGTTACTTTCTCTTTTGTAGCCAGGATACATTATGAATGGCAGACCACATGTGTGGCTAAGACTAGGGACAGAAATTACACATAAATCAGTATAAGTGGTTGGAAAACAGTTCAAATCTGTAACACAGCAAAAGTTAGTGCACATAAACCACTTTCAAAATGGCTGAAACTGGTTTAAGATAAACCTGGATGGATGTACTATCAGACTTAACTGATTTAGGTTAAACTGGTTTCTTGAACTTCTTTCCCAGATCTAAGGGGCAAGACTCAGAGTGAAATCCTATCTGCCCACATTTGTTTTTATCAAAAGGGGCAGATTAACTTGAGTTTCTTATTTTTAATACAGGGAAGTGCCAATTACTCGAAGATTGTATACCAGTATAACAGAAATGTGACTCGGACTCTCAAAACTGCTTCCCCCACTGTATGTAGTCATAAGCCCTCCTTTTCCTTGAGCTACCCAAAACTTTCATAAGAATACTTGTAATATGTCTTCTCAGTGCTTTTAACAATGACTTGATCTTAAGCTGTACCCAAGGTGCATATAGCAAAGACTGGAACCAGCCTGGAACCAGTGGAAGGCTCTGCCAGTCACCAGCACAACTTCTATAACTTACTTTCAGCTGCTTATGGCATCAATAAGAGGCTGTTTCAGCAGCCAGGAACCAGGGACAGCAGCTTTAGTTCCTTTATATCACTGAATAACTCTATGTGCAAAACAGCTATCATAGTAAAGGCCAAGCATAGATAATTCAGCTTAGATAGTGCCTTTTGTTTGACAGGTGCTGACTGACATAATTACCTAGCTGTCCTATATCAGTGTAGCAAATACATCTTATTTTTACAAGATGGAAATCCCTGCAACTTAAGCTTTTCCTTCATGCAGTAATTCTTAGGAGAAACTAAACGGAAATGAATAACAAAGCCAGGGTTCTTACCATACAACATTGCTTGGCTCACACTATGCTAATTTTGTCTGAACTTTCTGTTGAGAATAGTGATGTGCCACATTTTACAAACAAACCTGAGGAGTTACTTTCCTCTTCCTGCCAAGTGACAGCTCTGCATTAGCTACTGGTAACTTTTTCTGTTACTTTATTATTTCACCCTCCCAAATTAAATCAATATGTCCTTTTAAAAGATAACAGTTTCTTATCTGAATAAATCAGTTCTCTCCACCATTCCCACCCTCTTCACTGTTGAAAATATCTACATGTGTGATGATATTTGCTGAAACCATTTAATCACAAGAGTAGGGAATCCACGCATTCTCACTGACGGAGTTCCTGCTAATGCTTAGATATTTTGGTTTGAATCCAGACAATTTAGACTACCCACTGCAGAGTTGAAGGACAACTAGATACCATCTACAGTTATTTTTAATGTTTTATCAACATATTAGGAACATCACCCTGCCTACTTTTGTCCCTCATACTTTCTGTTAGTCCATCTGTTGTTTTAGATTGAAATATCATTGGGGAAGGGACTGTGCCTCCCTATTTCCATAAAGTCTCTAACGTATTGTGGGAACAAGTGAGAAAAACAATAAATAATTCACACAGGATATGTATTTCTCCAGGTTTGCTCTCTGAATGATAAACCATAAACCTTTACTCACTTGGTGAGCTGTTGCTCTCAGGAGTAGTTCCATTGGCTTCTGACAATAGCTAGAATGCCAATTTCTTCAGACTTTACACTGGAGACGACATGGTACTGACTGTACGAGCTGCACATTTTCTCTTGCCAATTACTTTTGGGCACAACTATGATTTTGCTGTTATAATAATTTTAGGACACTAATCAACTTCTCTCAGGAAGGGGTTAGCTTTCTTGGGCCATGTTCAGAGTCCACCTATTGATTCTTTTCAACCTCTTATATTCCGGTTACTGCTGGAGTCACACTTGTTGAAAATGGAAATCTTTCTGCCACATTTCTTTTAGCATGCGGGCTATTAAATTCTTCATGGAATTAAATATCCATGGAAATACTGAGAAGTATTATAAAAGACTTCCCACCTCAAGGCACTGCCATAATTTATTTGGATATTATGGAAAATACCCACAATTAGAATCAAGAATAAACCTTTCTAGTTTTTCTTCTTATTTATTTGTCTTTCACAGTTCAGTTAACAGCTTTATCATCTGCATACATCTGTACCTACTAATGGAATACACAGCAGAATGTTAGTACTTTGACATGCAACTCACAGTTCTTAGTATAAGTCTGTGTATATTTCAATAAAATAAGTTTTAATGGGGAGTTATATTTCTTAGAGAATGAATAATGCATTTAGGCAGTCGTCTGATGAGGTTATCCCACGCTTTTTTGCAGGGGACAAATGTCTTGGTTCTACCATGTCCATCATTTCTTTCTAGTTTCCAGTTCTACCTCTGGATGCTTATGCCCCCTACCCAGTTCTGCTGGTACTATAGCAGGATTGTGTGTATACTGCTCTCTCCATAGGTCCATGCCTATAACATCTACATAAGTCTTCCAGATCTTTGTGAGTGATGCGAGCTAACAGGAGCAGAACAAAGGCTAGAGTAAAGGGTTAGAAAATAAAGAATGCATGGAAGAAACCTGGGGGGAGAGAAGGAAAGGGAGAAATTAATTAAGGGGGGGTGATAGAAGACTTTGGTGAGAGCATAAGGACCCAGAAGTCAGCTAGAAAACTGCAGAGAGTGCAGGGAGATGACAGCAACCACACCAGTGCCAGAAAGGAACATAAGCCCAGCAGCTGCAGCGGTATGAATATTGCAGCAGTGCCAGGAAAGAGAGGAGAGCACACCCAGCTGCACCAGGAACGAGAGGAGAGTGAGCCCAGAAGGACCAGCAGTCCCTGAAGGAGAGATCCTGAAGGATGAAAGCCTGGTTTAGCACAAGTGCATTTTATTGGAAGGTTTTTGTTCTTCTGAATGGGAGCAGCCTTCATTAGGCTGGTGATCTTGCCTAGTAGTGTGGCTTGGCAAGCCAACCAGGAGACCTGGTTTCCTTTTTGACATGGTCCTGGGTTCTCTTGCTTCCTTGTCAATAAACCCTTGAAGAGGAGTTACTGTATTCTGTAGCTTCCTTTAGCAGCAGTAAAGAAGCCACAACTGCATCTACACAGTTTAGTCTACAAATCTAACCTTTCTATTCACACATTATCCTTGAAAACACAGGACAATCAAGTTGCCAGCCATTCAAAATTTTTCAATGAACGTTTTGAGTTGTCAGATTTCAGTCTCTGCATTGCTGATGAATGCCTAGCTGTGAGGATCTATTTAAGTATTAATAAGCAAATGTATAATTGGTTGCTTAAGTGGCATGGTTTTACTCTATTTCCTAACTGGATAATTTAGCCTTTCTGAAGAGGAAGAAGGCCTGAGTAACAAACCAGGCCCATTAACATAGTGTTCATTTGTTGTGCTCTTTACTACTTCCTCCTATGGTAAAGGTCTAAAATATCTTGGAAAAACATCTCTGCCACTTTAAAAGTGATCTCCCTCAATGTCCCACTGATAAATAGAAGACAAAATCCCGGAAACTGCAATTAAACCATTGCTTTCTTACAACATTTTGTAATGCTTTATTCTCTGTTGTGCCTGATACATATGCGCACCAGGCAGACCCCTTGTTCAACCTATTTTGTGACAAATCATTCAACTTATAAATGATATCCACAAAAATGAATATGTTAGTTTAAACTAATGAAAATGGAGAGTTATAGGCCCTGATTTAACACTGTACATTCACATTTACAGGATGTTCCACCAGGGATAAACACGTATCTCTTGATGACATTCACAGAAGTAGGACTTTTTGGTAATAACATCCATTCTGAAGTTTAAAGTTGCTCAAATCAGACAAATCAGTTCATACAGATACACTGATAATAGGAACAGCAGGTTAGTTTTTTGGTGCAAAAGAATATAGAATGGCTGATTTCTGCTTAGATTTAAATCTTCATGGATAAACTGAATTATTCACATGTACCATAAGGAATTGAGAAAGATGAAATCATAAATGAGGCAAAAAATATCTAAAAACAAAAAGTGTAAACAGTATGCTTTAAACTTACAATTAAAATTACCAATATTGGCAGCAGCATTAATAGCATGAGTTAGGACAGGGGTGGGCAAAATACGACCCATTGGCTGGATCCGGCCCACGAGGCCATTCTATCTGGCCCGCGGGGCCCCTAAAAAAATTTGGAAAATTAATATTTCTCTGCCCTTGGTTCCTGTCAAAAATAGAGAAGTCCAAAAATGACAGGAACCAAGGGCAGTAGGACCCAGGGGAAGCACAGCGGGGCCCACCCCCCAGCTGGAAGCCCCAGCCAGGGTTTCTGGGCTGGGAGCATGTGGCTGCCCCCACACGGGAAGCTCAGGTAAGTGGCGGGGGGGAGGACCCCAGGCAGGGAAGGAGCGTGGGGGGGAGGGGGGGGGAGAAGTGGCCCCTCCCCACCCATGCCCGGTGCCCCATGCTGCCTGTGCCCACTCTGGACAGCCCCATGTGGGCTGCGAGCACTTGCAGTGTGGGGCACCGGGCGTGGGGTGGGGGGGGAGCTGCTCCCCCCCCCCGTGCTC